ATGACCTCCTACGACCTTCTCTGCCTTTCCCTACCTGCCCTCACCGTCTCCATGACCATGTCCCTCTCTACTTCCTGTAATGTTCATCCTCACATCCTAAGAACATTCGCAGTGTTCGCCCTCATGTGTTGTGCCTTGGATCCTATGCAGAGTGGACTGGAGTGGGCGCTGGACCAAAGTCAGACAGTCCCAATGTGCAGGCAAGTGACACAGAACCTTGGGATTTTGTGAAGTCTTTTGCATTATAGACATTAGGTGGGAGAATGAAACTGGCAAAACAATGATTCTAGTTTTCCCAGTTATCACATTTAATAGATTTCCCCTCTGATCACATTATATGTTAACTTCTATCATAATGCTATATATTTGTTATGTAAAAGGTTTTATGCAAACTGCATACATCTCTGTGTAAACTCCTTTAGAAATGGAAATAATTCTAACGTGCTCCAGTTTATCAGCTTTAATGCTGTTAAGTGAAAATACTTGAGCATGTTACAGCTGAGCAAATATTAAAGAAAAACAGTGAATGCTTTAGGTAGGTAACTAATAGCAAGCCAGAGGCCAGCCAAGTTCTTTCATTTTACTTTTAATCCCTATCCCTTGTCAAAAGAACAGGGGAAGAGATGTTCTCAGCAAAATGTAAGAAATCCTATCACCAAGCCAAAATTCCCTCTATAAGTTACAGGTGGAAATCCGCTTCTAAAAAAATTGCCATGGCAGGTTGTTAACACGCAGGTACTATCTGCAAATACGCTTGTTTAAACACAACAGATTGCCTCTACTCAGCTGGTTCATTAATCACAATTCAGCTTGCTATCAGGAGTGAAAATTACTGATGTTATTAAATTTCCACCCCATTACCTTGACTTTTATTTGGAACCAGGCATCAACGATTTCCTTCACTAGAAGTCACAAGTTCACCAAGCCAAAAAATCACCAAAGAAACACAATACATTTGATGTTATCTTGGAAACCTAAAGAGTCAGTGCAAAGTCTCTTCAGCATTATAGTAACCTGCTCAAGCCCATTCTCATGCCATTGCTTCAAGAACCTTGGGTTTAGACATTTCAAATAGTGTTTGAGAAAATAAACCTTCAATGCTTAAAGTAATTGGTTTCAACCAATCCTCTGACAAGTCTGTTACTGTCCTCAGTCTTTTTGACAGTGCCCCCAAAACACCTCTGTTTAAGGAACTGGAATCCCTTGCCTTAATGAAAGGCTGTCAGTTTCATCTTACTGCCTTCTCCAGGAATGTTCCAGTCCAATGATGCTATTTCCCAGCTGTCCCCAGGAAACGTTCAGGGGTACCCCATCCAGGATTGGTTCTGAGACAGATGTCTTCTAAGAGAAATTGAGGTTGTAAGAAATATCAACCAATCAACAAATATTTATCAACTACTGTTCATGGGAACCGAGACAGCCACTAAAGAGAATATAGTATGAGAAGACAGAGTCTTCCGAAACTTTACTAGTTAGATGTCTAGAATACGCATATACACAGCAAAAATAACTCCTAATACAGAATAGCAGATTGTTGGTGCTAAATGAATGTCATGGGGAGGAACAGCAATAGGACTCTGGAAGACTCACTCCAGATTCCCGGGATGAGATAATTAGGCCACCCTCTCAGAGAAGAGAGAGTTATGGCAGACAAAGGAGGGGAGGGGAAACAAAGGGATAGAGAGAGATGGGGAATCGTTTGTATTTGAGAGCTAAATGGAGAGATTCTGCAACAAATACAAATTTGGTTTCGTGCGTGTTGTCAGTGTGTGTACATTTCAAGTATGAGCAAGATTAGCCTTAAGCACATTTTGACACTATTCATTTAAAACCTGAAGCACACAGGTCGTCCTCCACACACGTAGGCTGATACTGTTTGGCTCCATTAATAATCACGGGAAATAGAGTCATGGCTAGCCCTAGTGGAATTACCATCTCATGACCCCGAGATCACTATCTGAGTCGAAATCAAGAGCCAAGCCACCCAGGTGCCCACCCCCCGCTTCCCTTTCTATTAAGAATTGAAGGTAGTAGCACTCACTGTTGATTTGTGTAACCTCTTGCTCATTCCCTGTAGACTTGTAGGGTTGTCAGGCGAGGGGCTTGCTCCCTTCCTCCAAGCTAAATTCTAGAAGGAATTTGAATTTCGTTAGGAAGGACAAAGGACTAAAAGCAATTGGCATTGATGGGTCCAATGGCAGTGCCCTGGAAAAGACTCTGCTTAGTGTCTCTGAATGCTGTCCTGATGAACTTGCCTTTCTGGAGGAGTGAGCAGCGAAATCTTTCTTGGTACTATAAGCGCTTCTACATTTTTGTCATTTGCTATTCTTCCTTAAAAAGTTTAGCAGGAGCTGGTTTTTGTGGCTTTCAACCAATGAGGATTAGCGTTGGCACTTTCTTCCCTCTGTTACAACTTCCAGCCACAGCGTTAGAGGTGGAAAGGTTCAAACTGAGCATCATTGTGGAACTGTGCAGGAAGCAGGGGTGACATCACTGGTACTTTGCGCAACGTTGGTTTCAGTGCAGTTGATTTTAGGAAAAGCAAAGGTACACAAAGAGGCCAGGGCAGAGAACAAAAGGAGCAGTCTGTTCACAAAGGAAAAACGGCCCTCCTAACACCCCTAACAATTAACAGTAAGACAGATCTCAGCAGACGTCATTAGGAATGCATCTCAGGCAAAACACCGACAATTTCTAATTTCACTCGCCAAGGAAAAAACCCATTTGTCCCCAGAAGTTTTGTGTCAGGCATCTGAGCTGGAAACGAATGGGGGTATTGTTGTTGCTGTTACTTCCTGGGTTAGGTAACCAGGAAGACAATAGCTATTGGACCCCTGCGCTGGAGTGACCCCTTTCCTCCTTCCGTCGACTGACCACTCAAATTGTTCTGCAGGGACAAATCTAGAAGGGCTCTAACTACAGACCGTGGTTGCTGCCCTTGATTTCATAAGCACTAAAAGACCCGAGACGAAAGGTCCACTAAAGGACCTGAGATTTTATAAGAAGAAAATTTATAATCTAGTCCTTTTTTAAAAAAACCATGACAAAAAAATCCCAGGATTTTTAAATAATGTAATCCCACAAAGTATGTGTTACCAATAAAAATCAAACACAGTGCAGAGATGAGGGATCTTGAAAAGAAAAACCACTCGGCTGGATTTGATAAGAGAAAAGCTTTAGCAGAAGGATGGGGACAGAGCACATGTATATGAGGGACAGAAGGGAATGGGAGATTAGAAAATAGAGGTTTGGCAAAGAAAAGAAGAGGAAACGTAGAAAAGTAGCTGAAAGAGTCAAGCGAAAATTCGTTCTGTTTTGAAGCTGCTGAGGAGGAAGGGGACTGATGTGGCTGGCTTCTGGGTGTGCCGCCGGTGCGGTCACACGGGGCTCTGTGCTCAGAAGGGCCCTGCACCTGGTTGAATGCTCTGCTGTCACTGTCTTGAAATTCTTACCATCTTTTGAACCAGGACCCTGCATTTTCATTTTGCATGGTCCCCTCAAATTATGAAAATGCTCAGAAAGGTATAACACACTAGTGTTGGCTGATTAATGTCCCCCCAAAATGTGTACATCCTAATCCCCCAAACCTGTGAGTGTGTTACCGTATGTGGCAAAAAGGACTTTACAGATGTGATTAAGAATTTTGGGGACTGGCACCCACCCACCTACCCAATAAACAAGTTCTGTCTCCAGAAAAATGATTAAAGAAAGAATTTTGAGGTGGGGAGATAATCCTGGATTATCTGGGTGGGCCCTATGTAATCACAGGGGTCTTTATAAGAGGGAGGCAGTAAAGTTAGGGTCAGCAAGAGAAGGCATGTGACAATGAAAGCCGAGGGAGTGAAGATGTGACAGTGTGGTGCACAGTTATGAGCTAAGGAATGCAGGTGGCTTCTAGAAGCTGGGAAAGGCAAGGAAACATATTGTCCCCTAAAGTCCTTAGAAGATGCAGCCCTGCTGATCTAATTTGGACTTCTGATCTTCAGAACCTCAGACCCCTAAGATAATAAATTTGTTTTGTTTTAAGCCACTAAATTTATGGTAATTTGTTATAGAAGCAATGGGAATCTAATACACACTACATATATGTAAGCTGATGTATTGCTAGTTTTCTAGAAATCAAGGCTATTACTATAAATAACAGCTATCATTGATTGAACACTTCCTTTGTGCTAGGCACCATACTAAGCCTTTTATGTATATAATCTTATGTAATCCTAAAACGGTGTTTGAGGTGGGTATTATTCACTTACAGATGAACAAATTGAGACTCACAGAGGTTAAATAACCAGTAAGTCTGAAGCCACGTAATAATCTAGGATGTTTTAGAGGTGGGAGCTGAAGCCAGTCTGAATCACTCCAGGAGCTTCTGTGTGTTTGTCCCCATTCCTATACATTATTATAAACTTTTGGGTTTGTTCCCGTTCTTCAACGTGCATCATGTTTGCCTCAACAGAGGAGTGGGAGTGGGACGAAGAAGAGGATGACATCCACGTCTGCGGGTATGAAATGAAAGAGGAGCCCGAGCCACCTGTCCAGGTCGCAGGTGGCTTAATAAGGCGCTTGCAGTAGATCTGAGGCTACAAAACACTGAATGAGACAAAGAAAGCGCTCTGGCTCGGAAGCCGAAGATCCCCAGCGCCCGTTCCTAATTTGCCTAGGTTCCGGGCGCATCCTGGAGCCTCCCGCCTGTGCGGCGTCAGGAAACCACCACAGAGGGATAACGCCCCGCCCAAGTTCCAGGAGCAACTGCTCGGGGAGGGGGCGCGGCTCGGCGGCCCGCCGAGGGGGAGGGAGCCCCACACGCACCGCCTCTTGTTTTGGAGGCCCGCGTGGTCCTGCCTCATTGGCCGCCGTGGAGCCCGAGGCCCCGGGGGAGGCGGAGCGGCCTCCGCAGCTTGTAGTTCCCGGGTTCTCCCGGCCGCCGGCCCCGCCTTCCGGCAGGAGGCCGGCTCGCGGCCGCGCGGGGACCACAACTCCCACAAGGCGCCGCGCTCGGAGGGGGCGGGGCCGGGGCGAAGGGGAAGCCAGGGGCGGGGCCGCCTAGGGGATGAAGTGGGGGCGCTCGGCTCTCCAGCCTCACTCGCAGCTGCCGGGAGCCGGGGAGAGTGGGCCCCGCCTCCGGACGGGCGTGCAGACCTCTGACCCTGGAGTCTCTCAGCTGCCGGGAACCGTCCCCTTGGGTCGTCGCCCGGGCCGCCCGCCGTTCCCCGGCCCCGAGGGGCCCGGCCGGCCACGGTGGGGGGAGAGGTCAGCATGAGCCGGGGGGCCCGGCAGGCCGGCGCCGGGCAGGGGGCGGCGGTCGCAGTGCAGCTGCTGGTCACCCTGAGCTTCCTCCCGAGCGTCGTCGAGGCCCAGGTGAGCCCGAGTGATGGCGGGGCGGGGACGCCCGGCCGAACGCCAGCGGTAGCGGCGAACGGGCCGCGGCCGGGGCGCGGGGAGGGCCGGGGCCGGACCCCGAGGGGCTTCTGACGAGCGGGAAGGGCTGGGGGCTGGAACCCGAACCGTCACGTCCAGGAAGCGTCTGCGAACCGCTTGCGGTGTGTGCGGGGATGGCGACGCTCGTGGGGCGATGGCAGTAAAAAGAGGAAGATGGTGACGGTCCCCTGAGGTGTTTTCGCTTTTCTTTTTGATTTTTTAAGCGGCTGGGAGTGTGGCGGGAGATGAGATGGGAATGAAAACGTCATCAGCTGTTTTGGGAAGAGAACGCGCGGTAGAAAGGGTGAAGCCCTCCCCTTCAACGGGGAGGGAGGGGAGGTGGATCCCCGCGCCCCGCAAGTGGAGTGGGTAGGGAGGGGGACAAGACTTAACTTCCTTGAACTTTTGGACTAGAGAGCCCCTCGGCTTCTCGCCTTGCTCTAGCATCTTTCCTTGCTTGGGACTGCTGTGTTTTTTACCCAACTTGTGCCATGTCTGCTGGGTGGCATCTCCAGGTGAGCCCAAGTAAGAAACTGGGGGGGGAGGGGGCTGTGTCTGGCCTTACAAGGCCTATCAGTAATGAGGTGATGGCTGGAGAGTAAATTAGAATTTGGGGGCTGCCTTTGTGAAACCTTTATTACCTAAGTGTTCTCACTACGCTGGAAATCGAGGGTTTTGGAAACCAGAGCCTTTGCCTTGCAAGCCCTGTTTGCTTCTTTCTACAGAAGAATTTGAATAGCCTGCCAGGTGCTGCTATGCCTTGTCTGCACCTGCTACAAAGTGGCAAAACTGCTGAGAGAGAGAGGTGTCTCAGGTGGCTCGATAATGAGGGGAGATGTCATTTGAAGCAATTAATGCTCATTGCTGAGAAAAACTGAAGCTATGAGTGTAACCGTGTAAACATGTTTTTCTGACTTTATTCACATACTTTTTTTCATGGCGTTACAGTGTTGTGCACTAAATCCCAGAAAGCCTGAATATCCTATTTGTGTGAATATTTTTTTAAATGAATGATTTGGTTAAAAAAAGGGGGGGGCAGACTTGGTTTCGGTGTTGGTGAGCATGTTAAAAATGCAGATTCTCTGGCCCCACTGCCACATGTTTTGATTTAGTGGATCTGGATGCGACCCAGGGATCAGCAATTTTAAACAAACCTTGTTTGTAAGTAACTGTAATGCAGTTATCCTCTGAACTACCTTTTGAACCCTGCTTAGAAAACACTGAAATAGTGGAAATCTGGAAATCTTCTAAAAAGTAAATTTTCCAAATTGTCTTTAGCAAAGTTATTTTCTAGCTACTGGTTGGGTGATAGGGTTTGGGTGGAATATACATTTAGGTATTTTTCTAAAAGGGGATTTTTCTCATTTTTTTCTTTTTATAGCCTATATTAATTGTATACTTTGTCATCAATCTGGAAACTTCAGGTTTTTTCATCTAATTACATGTGTTACTGTTTATAATTGCATGTGTACTTTTATTTTATCCCAATGAATATATGTCATTTTATCATGTCCAAATGAATACATATAATTCCAAAATTAAAGATTTGTGCATATTCAAAGTAGCTTTGTGCCAAACAGTCCTCAAAAGTGGATACATTTGGTTTTTGTTTCCAGTGGTATTTTCTAATATAGTGTTGGAGCATATTATTGGTAGTATTTTAATTCCAACATGTTTAAATATATATTACCTCATTTTATTGGATCTGTCTCCCAGAAGTGCACCTATTGAGGTAACTGAAGTTCAAAAAGCTTACATGACTAATATCACTTCTTAAGTGCACAAGATTAAACTGGAGCCCTAGTAGGCCCCCTTTTCTTCTGCACAATACATCTCAGCATGCTTGCTTCTTTAGGGTATCGAAATAAAGCAGAGGGAGACCCAGGAAAATAAAGTGGAAATAAGATAGTTCTTTCACTTCTCTTATGTGTGCTAAATTGAGAGGGGAAATAAAAGCCCAGTAAAGCATAAAGGGAAAAATTAGATTTTTTTTAAAAAAAATACCTCCATTTATAAGAAATCATTTAGGAAGAGGAATATATTGAATATGTCTCCTTGGAATGAAAGCATAAAGTTATTTTTGAGCACATAAAATGATAGGCATTTGTATATCTCAAACCCCTTTTTCTTTCTTTCTTTTTTTTTTTTTTTTTTTAGATTTTATTTATGTGAGACAGCATGAGCCGGTGGGGGTGTGGGGAGGCGAGGAGCAGAGGGAGAACAACTTGGGGCTCGATCCCAGGAACCAGAGATCATGACCTGAGCCAAAGTCAGATGTTTAACCAACTGAGCGACCCAGGCACCCCTCATACCCCATTTTCTTATAAATTAAATGCAAATGTGCTTTGTAGTCTGGGAAGCACTACAAAGGAAAGACATAGTGCATATAAGTCGTATGACAAGTTAATCTTCCTGTAAAGAAGTAATTTTAGTCAGATGTATTTTTAAGTCTTTCTAAATGCATCTGAGGTGGCATGAAATCAGAGAATACATAAGAGTCCCCCTGTTCCCAATAGAAAGCTGATCTTGAGATTCAAATAGTGTTGTTCCAGTCCATTACCCGGAGGATTTTCCCCCAACCCTGAAGATCTTGACTTTCTGCTGTAATAGCTCCTTGGTGTGGTGTGGTATGGACAAGAAATAAAGGCTTAGTGTGTGCCCAAAGAGAGGAAACTAAAAGGAGACCCCACCATAAAGCTTGAACTCCAAAGAGCTACATCCTCAGTATGAGAAATGAGTCCTACCAGGAATAAGGGAAAAGTAAGAAACTTGCTAGGGAAGGGGGAAAAGACTCCCTTGAGAATCTATAACCATGAACCAGCTCTTACAAAGGTTTGCAGGCCAAATTCATGGCACCTATGCTAGGAAAAGCTTCAAGTGGAAAATTTAATTTATAGCAGACCTACGTGGGTATGCCCCTAGTTTACTGGTAAAAGCAAATATCCATCCCCTCTGGAGGAATTTATTTTCAACCCAGGCCCTAAAGAACTCTTGAAGATAGAGTGCCAAGGAGAATAAGCAGCTAATAGTCAAAAATCACCAAACACTAGGCACCATGAATGAGGTACTAGAAATATAGACTATGGAAAAAGACCTGTCATGACCTTAGATTCTGAAAATATCAGAGCTAATTTAAACACATTAAACATAGTGAATTTAAATACAAAGGGGTGGTTGGCAGAGACAGAGACCCTGACCTGAAACTATGGAAAGGGAACAAGAGATTTTAAAGAATGATCAAAAAAAAAAAATTAAAACAATGTGATGGGATTTCTAGAGCTGAAATTAAAAACTCAATGGATGGATTAGATAGCTGATTACATCCAGCAGAAGAAATGATTATGAATCAGGCAACCATTTTATATCTTTTTCTACTTAATCCTCCAACACTTTCCCTTAGCTTCGTACTTCACTAACAGAATTGGAGTAATCAATGTAATCCATGTGTGTTTACCTATTAGTCTCTGTACCCACACATCATGACTTCCAAAGGATTATCGTAGATGAACTATGAACTCTTATCAAAGGCTAATCCCTCTCTTTCGTATATTAGGTCCCATTCCTTCTTTCAAGGACATGGCTCAAGCAAATCTTCCCTTTCTCTCCTGGATCATTAATTTTTCCTTGTCTGATGGACTGGTGCTGTCATCCTAAAACATAGTGGTAATTCTGGTTTACAGTTCTCTCTTGACCCGCCCATCTCTTCCTGGCTCCGCTCCATTTTTCTGTCCTCCTCTATAGAGAAACTCCTCAAATGAATTATCCTTATTCCTTCCATTCTGGTCCTCTCTTCAGCCTACTCCAGTCAAACTTTTACCCCTGCCACTCCTCAGAAACTGTCAGATGTTTAACCAACTGAGCGACCCAGTGACCTTGTCAAGGTCACTAATGTCTTCCTTGTCGTTAAAGCCAGTAGTTAGTTTTTAAACCTTAGCTTTATCTATAGACAGCATTTGTTCCCACAGTTAATCACTTACTGTCCTTGAAATACTTCTTTGGGCTTCCAGGATGTACTTTTCGGATTTTTGTCTTGTCTTCCGGGCTAGTCTTTCTGGTTACCCTTTGCTGTGTCTCTTCTTTCAACCCCACTCGTGACCCCTGGGATGGGCAGAGGGGTGCTAGCGATTGAGCTCCGCAAAGCTCTTAAAACAAGATTGGTGAGTTTCCGGGTGGGTGAATACAGACCCTTGCTGGGAGCGGGGCTCAGAGGCAGGGAAGGTCTATACTTGCACCCCCACTACCTTGCCCTATGCCCCTATCTATCCTGTTTGGCACTTCCTGAGTTGTATCCTTTACAATAAACCGGAAAACAAGCGCTTCCCTGGTTCTGTAAGCCATTGCAAACTACTGAACTTGAGAAGATAGTCGTGGGAACCCCCAATTTATAGCTGGTCAGTCAGAAGTACAGGTGGCTTGGAACTTGGGACTGATATCTAAGGTGGGGACAGTCTTTGTGACTGAGCCCTTAACTCGTGAGGTCTGCTCTAACTCCAGATGGTATCAGAACTGAATTGGGCACCCAGTTGGTATTGGAGAGTTGGAGAATTGGTTGATGTGAGAAAACCCCAAGTTCCATTAAAGCCAAAGTCTTATAATGGTCTCCTATTTTTCCTTTTCACCTACTACATAGTCCTCATTGTTCCTCAGAAACTTTGGGCCAGCTGACTGCCTCGGGGCATTTATATTTTTGTGCTCCCAATGCCTGGAGTGCTTCCCCCTCCCCGCCCAACTCTCCCAAATTGTGTGGCTTGTTCCTTTTCCTCCTTCAAGTATTGCCAAAATTTCACAAGACCTTTTGTAACTCTCCTTTTAAAAATAGTAGCAGCTCAGTCCTGCAATGCCTGTCTGCATTCCCTGGTTTTCCTGTTACTTTATTACCATCTGACAGACTCTGTACTTGGCTCTTTTTTTTTTTTTCCTTTCCTATGAGAATGTAAGCTCATGGAGGGCAGAAATTTTTGTCTGTGTTTTTTTCTTTTTCTTTCTACTACTTCTGCACTTCCAGCAGTTAGAACAGTGCAAGGCTTATATTAGGGAGATCCTCAAATATGTTGAATGAATGAATGAATGAATGAGTGACTCAATAAAGGAATGGAAAATAAAAGCAAATGAATTATTCAGAATGAAGCTCAGAGGAATAATGGGATAGTAAATTTTAAAGAGAGCTTAAGAGACATGGTCTAATATAATATGTCTGGTTGGAGTTCCAGAAGAATGTACTAGAATAGGGAACAAGTATCGATTCTTGCATGTTAATATGAAAAAGACAACCCAGTAGAAAAATGAAAAAAAGGTATTTCACACAAGAAGAAATACAAATGTCTTATAGAACATAAAACATTATACTTCATTAGTACAAAAATCAGATACCCTTTCATGCTTACTAGACTGGCAAAAATTTAAAAAATATCAAATATTGATAAGGATAGGATTTAGCAGTAACTTCTGTCTGCTGTTGGTAGGATTATAAATTGGCATACCTATTTTGAAAATGAGCTATAATAATTCCACTTGTAATCATATAAGCTGGAGAAACTCTTACACACATATATATAGGGAGATAATGAAAAATACATTTGTGTAGCATTATTCTTTAAATTAATCTGGAAACAGCCGAAGTATGGATTGCATTAGTTTCCTCTTGCTGCTCTAACAAATTACCACAAATTTAGTGGCTTAAAACAATACAAATTTATGATCACATAATGCTGTATGTAGGCCAGGAGTCTGAAAATGGGTTTTACAGGGGTAAAACCAAGTTATCAACAAGGCTGCGTTTCTTCTGGAGGCTCTAGGGGAGAATCAATCCTTCCCTTTTCCAAGCTTCTAGAGGCTGCTTTGTTCCTGGCGTATGTCCTTTTCCCCTGTCTTAAAAGCCAGTAATGTAGCATCTTCCAGTCTGACTCTGACACTTGTCTTCCTCTTACAAGGATCTTAGTATTGAGTCCACTTAAATAATCCAGTATAATCTTAACCATCTTAAGATGCTTAATCACATCTGCAGAGTCACTTTTGCTGTGTACAGTAACATATTCACAGGCTTCAGGAATTAGGGCATGGATATCTTTGGGGGGGGCATTATTCTGCCTACCTTACAGGTCAACAATAGAACAAATACCTTGTGATATTTTCATATAATGCAACATTTATAGCAGGGAAAAATGAATGAGCATAAAACTCATTATGGTGGGTAGCTGTCAAAATATTAGCAAAAGAAGTACATCACAATATAATTCACACGATAGATGCCATTAATATTAAGGTTCAAAGACAAGCCCTCTATATTGTTTAGGGATATAGCATTTGTGATGAAATTAGAAGGAAAAGTAAAGAAATTAACAAAAATAATTCTGCCTCCAGGGGGAGGGAGATGGCCATAATTAGAAGGGACTTGAAAGATAATAGCCGTATTCTATCTCTATTATTTTTAAAGATTATTTATTTTAGAAAGAGGTGGGGTGGGGAGAGGGAGAGAAGCAGGTTCCTTGCTGAGCAGGGAGCAGGAGGGGACAGGCTGAGGCTCCATCCCAAGACCCTGAGATCATGACCTGAGCTGAAACCAGGAGTCAGATGCTCAGCCAGTGAGGCACCCAGGCACCTCTCTCTTTCTCTTTTTAAACATTTTGGTGATACGCAGGTTTTTGTCTTAGTAGTTGTCCTTAAGAGTTAGAAATACACATGATAATTTTGTATACCTTACCCCAGCCTCTACCACAATTAAAATATATTTAAAAACCCCCAAATACGGTGGTTTACTGAAAAGCAACAATTTAAGAAAAATTCGTAAGAAAGAGCAATCACTGGATAAAATATTTTTCAAACCTAAAAAGTTGTCATTTGGTATTTCTACTCCCCCTACCCCCTGCAATTACTTAGAATTTGAAGTTTTATAAATAGTAAGCTAGAGAAATGGAATGAAATTCAATAGAGTTAGTGCCAGGATCTTAGTAACTAGGATAGTAAAACATCTGGAATTCTAGGGCCAAAATTGTTGTTAACGATCCTTTGTTCTTGAAAGATAATATACCTCTGACTCTTGATGGTGTAGGGAGTTTGGGAACACATTTGCATTCCTAGAGGAAAAGCATGAGAAAGTAACAACTGGGAAGTTCAGGTTTCCATTTTCTGATCATCTTTGCATAAATTCCTCCAATGGATCATACAAATGATCCTTAACAACGTAGGTCCCATTTTTGTTTTTAAATTTTAACCTTAATTGAGATAGTTGTAGGTTCCATTAAGTTGTAAGAAATAATACAAAAAAAATACCACCTACACTGTATCTAGTTTTCCCCAACAGTACCATTTTGCAAACATACAGTGCAATATTATCACCAGGTCATTGACATTGATGTATTCTGCTGATCTTAATCAGCTTCCCCCTACTCTCACTTGTGTCTGTGTGTATTCTCTTCACTTTTATCACACATTTAGGTTTGTGTATCCACCACCATAGTCAAGATACTGAACAATGTCATCACCACAAGGATCCTTCCTCTTGCCCTTAAGAAAGTTAATTTTTTTTAGGGAGGGAGTGGTGAGGGGGGCAAAGGAAGAGGGAGAGAATCTCAGACTCTCCACTGAACACGGAGCCCATCACAGGGCTCAGTCTCACAACCCTGAGATCATGACTTGAGCCGAAACCAAGAGTCAGAATCTCAACTGACTGAGCCACCCAGGTGCCCTTCCTCTTGCCCTTTTATAACCACGCTTACCTCCTTTTTACCCTTCTCCCCGACTCCGACTCCTATCCCTACTCCGATCCTTAAGCCCTGGCAACCAATAAACTGTTCTCCATTTCAAAAATGTTGCCTAAATGAAATCACATAGTATGTACCCTTTTGGGGTTGGCTTTTTTCACTCAGCCTGATTCCCTGAAGATTCATCCAAGATGTGGATGGATGTCAGTGAGTCCCATTTTTAAATTTAGCTGAAGAATGTTTTATGGAAGTTTTGGATTCTGAACTCATTTTGTAAACATCAGTTTCTGTTCAGTTAATGTAAACTTTGAGTAGTGGATAAAGCATGTATTTTTAAGTGCGATTGACTTGGGACTAAGTCTCATTTCTACTTTGGAAAAATTATTTTAACCATGCTAAGCCTTAATTGTCTTATGTGTAAAATGAGAATAATACCAATTTCATAGAATATTTCAAGACTAAATGAGGTAACATGTAATGTTCTTATCACTATGCCTATCACATAAGTGTTCCATAAATGGCAGTAGAAAAGAAAGGTAGTGTTACTACGGCAATATTATTACAGTCTATGACTTTTAGGTTAGTCTTGGAAGAAATTGCTTTAGCATTCCACCTACTTCTTGGATTTTATGTATGTTTGGGGAATGGAAGGAACATTCAATATATTTCTCTAGCCACTCAACAATAATGCTTAGTTCTTCAGAATAGGTATATCTAATCCTTATATTGTTTTTTACTTAATCGGCCATAGTAAAAATAAATGATTGCTTTAATGTTATGTATCTTTTTTTATAAAGGATTTTGTTTATTAGAGAATGAATGGGAGAGTGGTAGACAGAGAGAGGGAGAAGCAGACTCCCTGCTGAGCAGGGTGCCTGACACGGGGCTCCATCCCAGGACCTTGGGATCACGACCCGATCTGAAGGCAGAGGCTTAACTGACTGAGCCACCTAGGCACCCCTTTAACGTTATGTATCTTAACAAAGACTAGTTACCTTCAATGAATAAATTATCTTTTTATATAATAGTACAGATTTGTTAAGCTTGGAATATCTATAATTTACATATTTTAAATTTTATATATATATTTTCCCCCCTAGGTCACCGGAGTCCTGGATGATTGCCTGTGTGATATTGATAGCATTGATAACTTTAACACCTTCAAAATCTTCCCCAAAATAAAAAAATTGCAAGAGCGAGACTACTTCCGTTATTACAAGGTATAGTTACAGTTTTTGATTCCGTTAGTAGCAAAGATTTTTACATAGCTGTTTACAGATGTGACTTTTATGACCCTTTTGAAAATCCGTTTTGACTTCTCAGCACCCTCTGCGCTTTTTGTCAGTGGAATGTATTAAGTACTGTAGTGAAACCTGATCGTCTTTTTGAACACTAAGAACCTGAACCCTCTTCTTATGTTTGGGGCATTCCTCATCTTTCAGTTTTGGTTTTGAGACAGAGACTCCTTCCACAGAAGCTGAAAATGCTGCGGACTTAACCTGTCAGCCTTCGTTGTAACTTAGGCTTCGCCCTCTAGACCCCTCCCCAGGCTCCGTGCTGTGCTGATGGCCAAGTCCTGTGTTAGCGCTGTTCACGGTGTAAGCACCGCAGCAGCAGACATCTCCTGGGGAGCTCACGGGAAGGGCTGCCAAACCAGGCTGAGGGTACAAGCAGAACACCCTTCAGAGTAATACCGCAGAATGGGTTCTTAAATCGAACCATCTACTCTAGACCTTTACAAAATAAAAAACCAATGATCGTTTAAAGGTAGCACCAATAAGGCAATGTTCAAAAGAGCAGTATTTTAAATTTAAGAACAGTATTTTCAAGCAGCTGTTATGCTTTGCTGTGCTCTTGCTCTCAATATTCAAATGGGTTTATAATTTCTTTGATTTTCATTTTTAGTTTATTTTAAAAACTGAGCATGGTTTTCTTTTTTGTCCTGATTCTATATAGCTATCTTAGTCTTTAAATATTTCTGAGGATAAAAAAAAATTAGAGCAGGAACTAATGGCCATTCTTTTTATGTCACCACCAAAATTTTGGCACAGTTAGCCATTTCCCATATTTTTGCAACACTTTATACAGGTGTCAAATTTCTGGGAGAAATTTCTCCCTAATTTCTGGAAAAACACTTATACAGGTGTCTAATTGGTCTAACTGACCAAAAGAGGGAAAGACACTTTGGTTAACAATCCTATTTGCGTAAATATATGGGGGGAGTGATTGTTTCTCAAAGGAATATTAGGGGATATTACAGAAGAAGGAAAAATGGAAGTTGGATAGGCAAAAATAACAGTGTTCTAAGAAAATGTTCTAACGAATTTAATGAAATTACTCTATATGTAATGGGGGTATCCTCATACTTGCCCAAGGGAGGGTAATGCAGTGATTTAGTTAATGTGTTTGTCTCCAAGTCCAGGATATTCAGGTGATATCTATTCCTTTTCTAGTTCTGCCAACCTGTAAATTAAACAAAAGGACATTTAACTGCCACCAGTATACTGTCCATACACTAGTGGCAGAAAAGGAAAGCAAAGAGAATAGCTTAATTTTAAACATGTGCATCCATACTTATGATTGAGCAAGCAAGGATACAGAGGTAGAAGCAACAGTCTACCCCTGTCACCCCGCTCAGGTGGCTGCTGTAGTTGGTATTTACAGTTTCTTATACTATTCATTCCGTTCCTTTATTCACCAAATATTTATTGAATGATTACTTTGCAGTAGGTGCTATTCTTTTTTTTTTTTCCAGAGTTTTCCTTTTTTTTTTTTTTTTTTTTAAAGATTTTGTTTATTTGTCAGAGAGAGAAAGAGAGCACAAGCAGGGGGAGTGGCAGGCAGAGGGAGAAGCAGACTCCCCACTGAGCAAGACTCGATCCCCGGACCCTGGGATCATGACCTGAGCTGAAGGCAGATGCTTAACCAACTAAGCCACCCAGGTGTCCTGCAGTAGGCACTATTCTAACTGCTGTGGATACAATAGTGAATAACACAAAGACTGACTTCATGAAACTTTTATTCTGATTAGGAAGGCAAACAATAAACAATGAAATATAATTTCATATGGTTATAAGGTAAGTGCTATGGAGAAAAATAAAGTAGGAGATAGAAGGAGTAAGTTAATGGGGCGGGGAAGGTAGGTAGCTTTATTTTTATTTTAAAGCTTTTATTTTTAAAGAAGATGATCAGGAAAGGAAGGTATTCATGCTCTGCCATTTGAGTAAAGACCTACATAATGTGAAAGCCATGACAAGACATGGAAAGAGAACATTCCAGGGAAGGGGAGTAGAACCTCAGGTATAAAGGTCTTGAATGCAGGCGTAAAGGTTTAGAGTGTTTGAGGAATAAGAAGACTGGTATAGCTGGAGCAAAGTGAGTGAGATATGGAGAGTTGGAAAGGTAGGTAGGAGGCAGATTTTTTAAAAAAAATTATTATGGGCCTTGTTCAGCACATAAGGATGTTGAATTTTAGTGTAAATTGATAAACTTTTGGAGGGATTTGTACAAAATAGACTGTCAGGGTGTGTGACAGGAAATAGAGAAACCATGTAGGAGGTTTCTGCGTGAGACCAGATGGAAGGGGATAGGGTTCTGGAATAGGGCAGTAGAGTTGGAAGAAATAAGAAGTGAGCAACTGAGCATCGTATATAAGAGGTAACACCAACAAACTTGTCTGATGGAGTGAATGTAAGCTGTGAGAGTAGAAGTGAAATCAAAGATGATGTGGCATTTTGAGCATATTACAAAAAAAATGTATCCTGACCAAGTTAATCTTATTCTAAGAATGCAAGGACAAGGCTGTTAGGTCTTGAACACAGTTCAACACGCATTCCTAATTTTTAAAAAATTTAATAGGAATGATGGATCTGTCCTTAACGTGATAATTTTAATCCTAACATTAGCATTGCCACCATCTTGCTTTTTGGGAAATAGTAGAGGAATTCTCACTTAGGTGAGGGACCAAGACAAGGGTACCCACCGTCTTCTTTACTGCTGGAGGTATTAGTATACTGAACGAGAAAAAAGCAACCGGAGGCACAAACATTTTTGAAGAATAAGTAAAACTGTCTCCATTTATAGACGACAAAAGTGTACTAGAAAACTCAAATAATGAACAAAAATGATTTAAAAATGCATTAAGATAGCAGGCTATAAACTTAATATACAAAAACCCATATCTTCATAAATATAAACAACGAGAAGATATGACGAAACTAAATCCCCATTTACATTAAGCAGTGAAATAAGATGAAATATATAGGAGTAAATGAATCAATAAATCTGCACAACCTAGAGGAGGAAAGCTTCAAAACACTACTGAGAGACACAAAGTAGGCTTCAAGAAATGGACTGATGTCTTTGTAGCATAAAGATGTTAATTCTCTCCACGTTAACGTATAAATTTAATGTGATCTTCATAAAAGTGCCAATAGTTTTCTACTGGAGCTGGACAAGTTGTTACAGCTTAAGTTCTCTGGGAAGCAGATTCTGAGACCACGGTTAGTGGGCAAGGGGTTAATTAGGGACCGCTCATGGCACCGACAGCTCGGGGAGTGAAAAGAGCGGAGGGAGAGGTAAAGCTATGAGTCAGCCTCTGTGGAAACATCAGGTGACCCTCTGGGAGTCCTTCAGATGGGATGGCCCTCCAGAGGTGTCCCCACTTGCAGGAGAGGTCTGTGCCTTTGCAGCCCTCCATCAGTCATCTGATGAAGGCCACCATTGGAAGGGGTGGTGTGACCTTGGGCAAGGGGGCTGTCTTCAGCTGAGGTTGGCTGCCTCATTTCCAGAATTTCAGAAGCTAACGTTTCTGGAAGCTGGGGTAATAAACCCTTATTTCTGAAGGGTGATGTGAGCAGCACGTTACAGTGTCCACTACAGTCTACTCCTTGCACTGTGTATTAGTTTTCTACCACTGCGTTACAAATTAGCCTAGAATGTAGCAACTTAAAACAGCACACTGAGAAGGTGGCATTTGGGGAAGATCTAAAGGGAGTAAGAAAGCAAGTCACGTTGGTATCTGGAGCAAGCAATACTTCAGGCAGAGGGAACAGCAGGAGCAAAGGCCCTGAGACCACAGTGTGTCTCATGTATTTGAGGAACAACATGGAGGCCAGTGAAGAAGGGGCAGAGAACAGAGGAGCCAGACCATGGAAGGCATTCTTGGCCATTACGGGGACTTGGATTTTGAACTGACCCAATTTTCAGAGGTATTGTGTGTGGGGTGAGAAAGCAAGGAGTCGAGGTTGATGCCAGGATTTGGGCCTGAGGATCTAGAATAATGGAGTTGCTGTTTACTGAGATGGCAGTAAGAATGTCCTGTGGAGGGGCACCTGGGTGGCTCAGTCGTTAAGCATCTGCCTTCGGCTCAGGTCATGATCCCAGGACCCTGGGATCAAGCCCTGCATCGGGTGCCCTGCTCAGCAGAGAGCTTGCTTCTCCCACTCGCACACCCCTTGCTTGTATTCCCTCTCTTGCTGTGTCTCTTTCTCTGTCAAATAAATAAATAAAATCTTTTTAAAAAAAAATGTCCTGTGGAGATATCAGCGAGGCATTGGACATACAAGCCAGGAGCTCAAGGAACCTGCAGTTGCCAAACAAACATCCCTTTGCCTGGAAATCTTCTCCAGGAAACTTCTAGTCCTACCCATTTTACATGTTACCAAAAGGAGGCATTCCCTGACAACTCCATGGTCAGAGTTGACCACTCTCTCCTCCTATTGCCAGTCTCTATGTATTGTTGCCTCTTCCTCTGTAATATAGGTGTTGTTTATTCTATTTGTTGAGATGTCTATTTTTTTTTTTTTTTTAGAGCAAGTGTTCACGTGCATGTGTCAGAGAGGGAGGGGCAGAGAGAGAGGGAGAGAGAGAATCCCAAGCAGATTCTATGCCCAGTGCAGAGCCCAACATGGGGCTCAGTCTTACGGTCCTGAGATCATGACCTGAGCCAAAATCAAGAGTCAGACACTTAACCGACTGAGCCACTCAGGTGTCCCTATTGAGATGCCTATTATGTGTCTGAGGCATTGGGGATAAAATAATGAATAAAGCAACATCTCAATCCTGACAGTGGGGGATACAGACAATAAACAAGTCAGTAATATTCAGGCAGTGGCAAGTGCTATAAAAAGAATATAAAACAGGGTGTGGGGTGCATATTGGGCACTACTTTGGAGAGTCGGGTCAGGGAAGGTCCTGGATGAGGTGAAGGGAGCAGGTCATAAGATGTGGTGTGACAGTATGGGCAAAAAGAAGGCTGCTGTAAAGGCCTCGAGACAGAAGGGAGAGCATGGTGCCTGCTGTGTGGACGACAGATGGTAGTAGAAGCAGGGAACCTGGAGGGGTCTAGGCGGGAAGGGAAGCGGTGGCAGTGGAGGCGGTGGGAAGACGTCGATAACGAATTGCTTGCAGGAGATAGAAAAGGAGTTTGGGCTTCCATTAAGTTCAATGTAAGAAAATCCAGAGTTTTTAACTATGGTTAAAATGTCCTGATGGGGGGGTGGGGCGCCTGGGTGGCTCAGATGGTTAAGCGTCTGCCTTCCGCTCAGGTCATGATCCCAGCGTCATGGGATCGAGCCCCACATCGGGCTCCCTGCTCAGTGAGGAGCCTGCTTCTCCCTCTGCCTCTCTCCCTGCTCATGCTTTTTCTCTATCTCTGTGTCTCAAATGAATAAATAAAATCTTTAAAAAAAAAAAAATGTCTTGATGGTGAAAATGGTCTGCCCCTGTCCTATGTCTACCCTCATCCCCCCACTAAAAGTCGGCTAAACTGGGTGTTGTTGTTGTTTTTTTTCAGTTCTCACAACTGTTCAAGCTGTATCACTTTATCCAAACACATGTTTTTCTTAACATCCATCCATCCTAAAATATTACCTCCTCAGAGGCCACCATCCACCAGCCCCCCCATTATTTTCCATCACAAACTCTGGATGTTCCTTTGTAGCACTTACCACGATTTGTAGTTGAACAAACATACAAACGTGTGATTTCTATTCCCTCCTGTAGGCTGTAAGTTCCGGGGCGGTGGGGGGAGTGCTTTTTTACATCTCTTTTTGTCCTAGACCCTACACAATGCCAGACAGACCGTGGGTGCTCAGTACACACTGAAGTGGGTGAGTGCTAGAGAGAACCCTAGTGAGTAAGGTAACAGTAAGATGCTGACGGACATTAAAGTAGAACGCTCTCCAGGGTCTGCAGAGGAGCAGTGTACTTGGACTTTAAAGTGTCAGAGGACTAATAACTTATTTTTTTTTAATTAATATTACATCTGGATGTCAGAAAAACTGCAGTTGTTTAAAATTCTGAACTCTGTAGATGCCATAGGATAGGAAGCTTTTTCTTCTTCCTACCACCACGTCACTAGTGCCCAGCACAGGGACACCTGGAGAGCATTGCAGAACTGTGCCACACATGTACTAATGTTAACCAATCTTTCTCTCAAGGTCAATCTGAAGAGACCATGTCCTTTCTGGGCAGAAGATGGCCATTGTTCAATAAAAGACTGCCATGTGGAGCCCTGTCCAGAGGTAAAATAAATTAAAAAAAAATAATAGGGAAAACATTGCTTCCTCTTGGGCTCTTAGATAAGTGTGAATTTGTATTTTAGGCCACTTTTGATGGATTTAGACTTGTCCTCAAATTCATATGGTGTCAGCTCTCTTTTTAACCAGATTACTGAAGATTTATTTTATACTCATCACCAGAATGGGTTTGAAGACACTCTCGTATCCAGTAGTACTGATTGGTTGTGGAAGTATAGTATGATTCTAAGACAAATGGAAAATTGGGGGCCTGTTCTAGGACTGGATCTACAATTGGCTAACTCTGATTTCAGGCTTTATTGAATATGCATCTTGTTTCATAAGAAAAGTGATGCTACTGGGCCTTAAATTTTACATTTAGAGTGGGAATTAGAAGTGGGTAAAGAAGAGGAATTTCACTTGGTCTTGTTACCTTAAAAAAAAAAAAAGCTATACTTACATTTTAGACTTTGTTTTTTGACATCTAGCATAGTTGATTCTTCTTAAACAGTAATTCATTATAAGCTCTGTTTTCATTTCACTTTTTGCTTTTCTTACCTAATCAGTTAATCTAGTTATCCTTAAAAATGGGAAAAAAACCATCTTAACCAATGTCCTTTCCAAAGGGACAATTAAAAAAATTCTCTTCATTTTCCTTTGAGAATAAAATGTTTTTTTTTAACTTTTTAGTTTGAAATAATTTCAGACCTACAGAAAAATTGGGAGAATAATACCAACAGTCCTCACTTATTTTTGTTCAGATTCCCTAAATGTTTATCACGTTTGCTTTATTATTCTCTGTATATATACATGTTAATATTTTCTGAATTATTTGGGTATAAGTTACTAACATGGTGATACTTTACCCCTAATTACTTGAGTGTGTTTCCTTAAAAACAAGATTATTCTCTTATCTAACCACAATGTAATTAAAAAAATCAGGAAATTAACATTAATTATAATACTAATGTCTAATTTATAGACCTTAGTCATACATTGCTAAATGACTTAATAATGTGCTATATAGCTAAAAAAAAAAGTGTTAAAATATAGTGTTATATTAATTTCATGTGTACAAAATAGTGATTCAGTAGTTCCACGTATTACTCAGTGCTCATCAAGATAAGTGTACTCTTAATCCACTTCACCTGTTTCAGCCATTGCCCCCTCCCACCTCCCTTCTGGTAACCATCTGTTTGTTCTGTATAGTGAAGAGTTGTTTGGTCTCTCTTTTTTTTGTTCTTTTGTTTGTTTTGCTTCTTAAATTCCACATATGAGTGAAATCATATGGTAATTATCTTTCTCTGACTGGCTTATTTCCCTAAGCATTATACTCTCTAGATCCATCCATGTTTTTGCAAATGGCAGGACTTCATTCTTTTTTTTATGGCTGAATAATATTCCATTGTATAAGTATATACCACATCTTCTTTATCCATTCATCTATTGATGGATGCTTGGGCTGCTTCGTGGTTTGTCTATTGTGAATAATGATGCTATAAACACAGGGGTGCATATATCCCTTCAAATTAGTGATTTTGTATTCTTTGGGTAAATACATAGTAGTGCAATTGCTGCATCATAGGGTAGTTCTATTTTTGATTTTTCAAGGAATCTCCATGCTGTTTTCCAGAGTGGTTGCACCAGCTTGCATTCCCACCAACAGTGTAGGAGGGTTCCCCTTTCTCCGCATCCCCGCCAACATCTGTCTTTTCCTGACTTGTTAAGTTTAGCTATTCTGGCTGGTGTGAGGTGGTATCTCATTGAGGTTTTGATTTGGATTTCCCTGTTGCCGAGCGATGTTGAGTATTTTCTCATGTGTCTGTTGGCCATTTGGATGTCTTCTTTGGAGAAATGTCTGTTCATGTCTTCTGCCCATTTTTTAATTGGATTATTTGGGATTTTTTGGTGTTGAGTTGTATCAGTTCTTTATATAATTTGGATAATAACCCTTAATTGGTTATATCATTTGCAAATATCTTCTCCCAATTAGTAGGTTGTCTTTTAGTTTTATTGGTTGTTTCCTTTCCTGTGCAGAAACTTTTTATTTTAGTGTAATCTCACTAGTTTATTTTTGCTGTTGTTTTACTTGCCTCAGGAGACTTACCTAGAAAGATATTGCTGTGGTCAGTGTCAGAGAAATAACTGCCTGTGCTGTCTTCTAGGAGTTTTATGGTGTTAGGTCTCACATTTAGGTCCCTAATCCATTTTGAGTTTTTGTGTACAGTGCAAGGAGTCCAGTTTCATTCTTTTGCATGTAGCCATGCAGTTACCCTTTGCTGAAGAGACTGTCTTTTTCCCATTAAATATTCTTGCCTTCTTTGTCCAAGATTAATTGACAATAGCATCATGGCTTTATTTCTGTGCTCTGTATTCTGTTCTCTTGATCTATGTGTCTGTTTTTGTGCCAGCACCATACCGTTTTGATGACTACAGATTTGTAATATAATTTGAAATCTGGAATCGTGTTCCCTCCAGTTTTGATTTTCTTTTTCAAGATTGCTTTGGCTATTCGGGGTCTTTTGTGGTTCCATACAAATTTTAGGATGTGTTTTTGCTAGTTCTATGAAAAATGCTGTTAATATTTTGATACGGATTGCATTAAATGTGTAGCTTGCTTTGGGTAGTGTAGACATTTTAACAGTATTTGTTCTCGTAATCCATGAGCGTGGAATGTCTTTCCATTTCTTTGTGTCATCTTCAGCTTCTTTCATCAGTGTTTCATAGTTCTCACAATCAGGTCTTTCACCTCTTTGCTAAGTTTATTTGTAGCTGTTTTATTATTTTTGGTGCAGTTGTAAGTGGGATTGTTTTCTTGATTTCTCTTTCCCCTGCTTCCTTATTAGTTTATAGAAATGTAACAGATTTTTGTACATTGATTTTATGTCCTGAACTTTACTGAACTCATTTTTCAGGTCTAGTAGTTTTTTGGTGGAGTCTTTTGAGTTTTCTATATATAGTATGTCATCTGCAAATAGTGAAAGTTTGACTTCTTCCTTACCAATGTGGTTGCCTTTTACTCCTTTTTGTTGTCTGATTGCTGTCACTAGGACATCTGGTACTATGCTGAATAAAAATGGTGAGAGTGACATCCTTGTCCTGTTCCTGACCCTAGGGGAAAAGCTCTCGGTTTTTCCCCATTGAGTATAATATTAGCTATGGGTTTTCTGTCTAAGGCCTTTATTATAGTTGAGGTATGTTTCCTATACACCTACTTTGTTGAGGGTTATTAATCATGCATGGATGCTGTATTTTATCGAATGCTTTTTCTGCATCTGTTGAAATGATCCTAAGGTTCTTTTCCTTTCTCTTACTGATATGATGTATCACACTGATTGATTTGCAAATATTGAACCACCCTTGCGACCGGGAATAAAGCCCACTTGATCATGGTGAATGATTTTTTTTTAATGGATTGTTAGACTTGGTTTGCTAGTATTTTGTAGAGGATTTTTGCATCTATGTTCATCAAAGGTATTGGCCTGTAGTTGTTTGTGTTTTTTTAATTTAAAAAAATCTTTTTATTATTATTTTTTTGTAGTTCTGTTTTTTAGTGGTGTCTTTACCTGGTTTCGGTATCAGGATAATGCTGGCCTCAGAGAATGAACTTGGAAATTTTCCTTCCTCTTCTTTTTTTTTTTTTTTTTTTAATAGTTTGAGAAGAATAGGTATTAACTCTTCTTGGAATGTTTGGTAGAATTTGCCTATGAAGCTGTCTGGTCTGGGAGTTTTGTTTGTTGGGAATTTTTTGATTACTGATTCAATTTCATTGCTGGTTATCAGTCTGTTCAAATTTTCTTTTCTTCCTGTTGCTGTTTTGGTAGATTATATGGCTCTAGGAATTTGTCCATTTCTTCTAGGTTGTCCAGTTTTTTGGTATATAATTTTTCATAATATTCTCCTACAGTTGCTTGTATTTTTGTGGTGTCTGTTGTTACTCTCTTTCATTTGCAATTTTGTTTGGGTCCTCTCTCTTTCTCTCTCTCTCCCTTTTCTTAAATGAGCCTGGCTAGAGGTTTATCAATTTTGTTGATCTTTTGTAGGAACTAGCTCCTGATTTCATAGATCTCTTCTATTTTGTTTTTAAAATTTTTCTGTATCATTTATTTGTGCTCTGATCTTTATTATTTCCTTCTGCTGGTTTTGGGTTTTGCTCTTCTTTTTGCATCTCCTTTATGTGTAAATTTAGGTTGTTTGAGATTTTTCCTGCTTCTTGAGGTAGGCCTGTATTGCTCTAAACTTCCCTCTTAGAACTACTTTTGCTGCATCCTCAAGATTTTGGACCATTGTTTCATTTTCATTTGTTTCCATGTAATTTTTTATTTCTTCTTTGATGTCTTGGATGACTCATTCAGTGTTTAGTAGCACGTTATTTAACCTCTATGAATTTGTGCTCTTTCCAGATTTTTTCTTGTGGTTGACTTCTAGTTTCATAGTGTTGTGGTCAGAAAAGATGCATGGTATGACTTCGATCTTCTTGACTTTGTTGAGGCTTGTTTTCTGGGCTAATAAGTGATCTGTTCTGGAGAATGTTCTGTGTGCCCTTGCAAAGAATATGTATCTGCTGTTTTAGGATGGAATGTTCTGAAACTATCTTTTAAATCCATCTGGTCTGGTGTGTCATTCAAAGCCATTTTTTTTTTTTTTTAAGATTTATTTATTCATTTGACAGAGAGAGACACAGCGAGAGGGGGAACACAAGCAGGGGGAGTGGGAGAGGGAGAAGCAGGCTTCCCGCGGAGCAGGGAGCCCGATGTGGGGCTCGAACCCAGGACCCAGGGACCATGACCTCAGCCGAAGGCAGACGCTTAACGACTGAGCCACCCAGGCACCCCTAAAGCCATTGTTTCCCTGTTGATTTTCTGTTTGGACAATCTGTGCATTGATGTAAGAGGGGTGTTACAGTCCCCTCTTGTTATTGTATTCCTATCAATTAGTTTTTTTATGTTTGTTAACTGTTTTGTGTATGTGGGTGCTCCCGAGTTGTGTGCATAAGTATTTATAAT